CGTGGCTGCCGAGCGCCGGGCACACAGCCGCTGTTATGTAAATAGTAACCGGGGTGCCCCTGCCAAGTTCCTGGCGACACTTTTGTCCTCCGGGGCATCGTCACCTGTGTTGTGCTGCCAGGCTTACACACCTCTCTCTTTCCACGTGTGTTACAGGTAGGAAAATGACTCGCCTGGCACAGGAGCAGGAGTTAGGAGCCACGTCCCAGTGAGTCCTCCAGAATTAAGAGCAAATGCCTGGAGAGGTCCAGTTGCACAGAGCAGCACCGCAGCTCTTGTGAACCACAGGCATCGACGCCTCTCAGACTTGCTCCTCTGGCCCTGAGCACTCTGCCAGCATTTCCTACCCCACGAATGGCTACTCAGAGGAAGCACTTGGTGAAAGATTTCAATCCTCATATCACCTGCTATATCTGTAAAGGCTATCTCATCAAGCCAACTACAGTAACTGAGTGCCTCCATACCTGTAAGTAGTGCTTTGCAAAATATCCCTCCTTCATGATCATGATCCCTCCTTGAAGTCTTATGTGTTTAATATGATTTCTGTGCTGGTTTTTGTTTACTTTTGAAGTGTTGCCTGAAACGGTATGCAGTTTCTGGTGGGGTTTCTAGACACCAGTCTGCCATTTGGGTCATCTTGAGGGCATGTTGACTCTGCTTTGCACCTTACAGAGTAAAGGTACCCCTTTTCTTTCCCCCAAGGTAGTGGTGGCTCCAGCACCAAACGTGTAAGTGTGGCCTGGCTGATCACAAGTAAGATCATTAGGCTGGGTGTGGTATTTTGATAATATAACTATGCTTTTGAAACATCAACCAATGTATCTGCTGGCAGTGTGCATGATGGATACACCAGTTTGGTCAGTACTGGCTCACAGCTCTCTGTAATGTGTTCCATGGCAAAATGCATAGAAATACTTGAAAGTTGGCAAAATATTTGTTTAGGGAGTAGATCTCTTTGAATGAAACTGACTTGGGGAAGAATTATTCAGGTTGTTCATATAATTCATACACAAACATTGGCGTGTATGATTTATATTAAATGTATGAATGGTCCTGTCAAACTGTGTTGTCTTACTTCCATGAGCTAAGTTACGTACATGCTTGAATTTTTTACGTTTTTTCCTGAATAGAAGAGAGTTTTCTTAGACCTCTTTGAGAATTTGGCATCTTTCTAAATAAAATTTGAATTCCTCTAAAAGGAGAGTAAGGGGAACTATATGTTTTCTGGTAGAGTTCTCATTTTTAAACCTTGAATAAATATCAGTTAAAAGCTTTGTCTTAGCATTTCCTGTCATTTCTGCATGGTGTTGTTCTTGTCTTCACTGTTAATTTTTACATTATGGTATTATGTCCCTAGTATATCAAGCACGTTAAACCATGTCATTCCTATAAGTTGTTCTTAGTATAAAGATAATATTGTTTACCATTGTAATAATATTATTTTTAGTTTAGTTTTTGAGAAAAATTAGTGTTGAACTGGCTTTTTCCAATTCTAATATCAGCTTATAATGTAATATTATTATTGAGTTTTGAATTTCTTGGTGAAGGAATTTAGGTTCAGGAGGAGAGAAGTTAAGCAAAGTGTCCTTGTAAGAACTTCAAGTGAAACAGGAGGGAGAGAGGTATAGTAGCTATTAATAAGTTATCTTTCCCTTGAAAGAAAATGGAAAAATTCCAGCATTAGATAATTTTTTTAGGTTGAAATTTAATGAACAGTAGTAACTTTTAAAAGCTTGGGGTGAGGGGAAAAAATTTGCATCAGAGATCAGCTCAGACTTAGAAAAAAAATTTGTTTTATTATGGTATCTTTCCATTTAGGTAATGTATTTTATTTACTTTTGCTCCCATTACAAAACAATAATGGCAGAAGGAGCATTTTTTTTCTCAGCAGCATCTGTTTCTTTTGTTCACTTGTAGATTTTGAGCTCTTCACTGAGACAGCTCTATTACTGCCTAGTTCCCAGGTTAGTGCACGTGGATTTTACTGAGCTGCCATACTAGTTGCACAGTCTCCTCACAGAAAAGCTGCCACGTGTTTGGGTCATTAAGTAGAACTGTAGGAAAGAAGGTGGTGTTTTTTTAAAGTTGCCAAAATATGAAGCTTACAATGATAGAAAGGAAAATTAAAAACTTCAAGTGGTGATATGGAAGTCCTATGTCTGTAGAGGAAAAGGTGATCTGTATGTGGCAGAATTCAGGAAGGTACGCTGATAAATTATTTTATGCTTTGGCTTCTAGAAAATATTCAAGCTTTTTTGTTTGATTGGTTTTTTGAAATGCAGATATGATTCTTCAGTCATATTCAAATACTTACCACAAAATACAATGATATTAACTGTGCTTTGGTATTTGTCTTGTACTATTAATAGCTGTAATTCAAAACAGTGTTGCACAAATTATCAAAATCTGCAGATATTAACAGTTTAAGAAGCAGCATAAATTCATTAGATACTGGGAGTACAATATATTACTCTGGACAAGATGAAAAGCAGGTATTGACATAGATATTCTCCAGTGATCATAGAGGAACTAATGTGATCAATAGTAACCAAATCAGTTAGCCATTAATTCACATCATCGGTGTTGCTGAAAAATGTTAAATACTAAAGTTCTACTCTGAGAAATGTGTGCCTTTTTAATAAGAGATGTTTCTGATGGAGTTTTGGGAAATGTTGGACAGACAACTCCACCAATCACCGTGAAGAATAAGTGCAACTCAGGCATCAGCAGTACAAACTTTCCTATCTGTTGGGAAGGAAATGCTTATATTGCTACAAAATAATTAACTATTTTGCAAATACAGTACTTTGTTTCTTTTTTTGCTACTCTCAACAGAATGTTTTTGTCTTGTGGACTGAGGCTTTTGTTTCTAGTCTGTTACACAGTTGTCAAGGTTGTTTAAGAACTAGGGGTTAAGAGCTAAAGGGTATGTCCCATCATCTGTTTCCTGAGTTACTCCATTGCTTAGTACAGTGTGAACTTAGAAAACTTGGAAAATAAACTTTCCTCGGAACATTCTTTAGTGTCCTAAAAAATATCAGGCTGTTTACACAAATGTAGAAATGTTGGTTGGAAGGGACATCTGGAGGATGTCTAGGCCAACTTCATGCATGAGACAGGTTTGTTGCCAACACTATACCAGGTCAAACCATGGCTCTGTAGGGTTGAGTTGTGAATTTCCAAGCACGGAGTCCCCACAGCCTCTCTCAATAACCATTTCCAGTGCTACGCTATTTACCTATTGAAGAAGTTTTTCTGAACGTCCTACCAAAAACCAACTTGTAACCATTGCTCCTTGTGATACTTTTTGCCACCACCAAGAAGAGCTGGGCTCCGCCACTCCTGTCACTGCTATTCAAGTGGTATAGGCTGTTGTTAGATCATCTACTAGCCTCAACTGTGATTTGCTTTTGGTAAATCGATATTGCCTATTCTTGATTATGTTTTTGTCCCTCATGTAGTTGGAAATTGATTCCAAGGGATGTGACATGATCTGCCATCTTTCCAGGGATCTAGGGGAGACTGTGTAGCTATAGTTACCAGGGTCATCCTTACCACCTTTCTTAAAGGTAGTCATAACACACTAACCTTTTCCAGTCATTGAGCACCTCCCATAATCACTGTGATTATGGTGATAAGCTTTTTTTTTGCGTAAGATGACATACAGCACAGTCCTGACACTTGTATCTGTATTTTTCAGCTGATTACAAAGATCTGAAATGTCTGTATTGGAAAACATAGCATTGTGTAATATGTTATGGTTGCCAGTCAATTAGTATATGCCACACAAGTAGTTTTATCAGCTGTAGCAAATAATTTTCTGTGAGTTTAACTTTTATTATGGCTCATCCAAATTGTCATAGTACAACCATGAAATTCAGGTCCTCATTTCACTGGCATGTGTAGCACGTACCTCGGCACATACCTCAGAATTCTGCAAACTGTGTACATTTGGGTTAAGCCATTTTCTTTTGCCTGTCTGCTGTCACACTGTGACCCACAGTAAAGCAAGTGAAACCATGTCATTTCAGTAATCTATACTGGAAGTGTTAAAAATGTTTGGGTGTTCGTTTTGATTTTTTGGGGTTTTGTTTTGTTTGTCTTCCCTAAGGTGGTCAGTTAAATATATCTGTAATTTAATTATGTTTAAAGATTCCCTTTTTCCCTACCCTTTTCACCCAGTGCTTAGACTTCATCCCGTTCTCTGAAACTTCAAAGTGATAAGCTTTGGAAAATGTTCAGTGTTTTATATTGAGAACAGAGGATGATTATACCTATCATATCTGAAAATAGTGGTTGATGATCCTACTTCTACTAGGAGTATCACATCAGTTCATTATTCTTCAGTGCTAGAATTTATGTGTATTTTTTACTTTTACATTGCTATCAGTAAATCACATTTAGTTTTGACAGGCAAATCCTCATAGCACCATAGCTTTACATGAGAAAAAGCAAAAGTTATTTTAGATTACTACAGTATTGATTTAAAATTTCAAGGGGGTTTTTTGTGGTATAAGATGACCTTATGATTTGCACTGGCTGCACAAAGACTTGATCCACATCTGTATGTGTGTTGGGGCAGGAAATATATGCATATAGGACTGGCTTAAGATTCTTGGTTCCTTACGATGCTTTCTCTGTATATATTCTCAAAGACCTCTCTTACACTGGAGATTAAGCTCTTCATTAATCAATAGTCTCTTTCTTGGACCACACATGGCTTCTACTCTCAAAAAAAAAAAAGGTATGAGGAGAGCACATAAATGTATTCAGACTGAGGAATTCAGTTCCTTTCTATAGATTGGTTTATATTCTAAATACGTCTTCAAGTTACATTAGTGTGGATTTTAGCAGGCTTTATATTTAGCAGTGTTTAGCATTTGGGAAGTTTTGGGGAATGAATTATCAAACTTCGAGTTTGTGTTCAGATTTGGGCCCTTCACTACGAGAAGAACATTGAGGTGCTGGAGCACAACTAAATAAGGACAATGAAGCCGGTGAAGGGACTGGAGCACAAGTCTGATGAGGAGCAGCTGAGGGAAGGGGGTTGTTTAGTCTGGAGGAAAGGAGGCTGAGGGGAGACCTTACCGCTCTCTACAACTACCTGAAAGGAGGTTGTAGCCAGGTGAGTGTTGGTCTCTTCTCCCAAGTAACAAGCGATAGGACGAGAGGCAGTGGCCTCAAGTTGTGCCTGGGGAAGTTTAGATTGGATATTAGGAAAAAATTCTTGAACCAAAAGGGTTGTCAATTATTGGAACAGGCTGCCCAGGGAAGTGGTTGAGTCACCATCCCTGGAGGTATTTAAAAGACACGTTGATGTGGTGCTTAGGGACGTGTTTTAGTGGTGGACTTGGCAGTGCTAGGTTAACGGTTGGACTCAATGATCTTAAAGGTCTTTTGCAACCTAAATGATTCTACAGTTCTATGACTTTAAACAAGTATGTTAGTTATCTATCGTGTGGCATAGAGTTCTTCTGAACAGTAATAATTTCAAATTTCTTCTAGGTGTAAATGAAAGCCACAGCTCAGATAGGTCCTATTTGTCTTTGAAAACAAACAAAAAGCCTAGCAAAGCCAAATTGAAAATATCTTTACAAAACAAATCAATTTGTCCTTTTCAAAGCAGTCAGATCAGTGTCATCTCATCACAGACTTCAAGAACTTCCCTGACATGAGTGGAGCAGCGATCCCAAGAGCGAGTGAATGGAATTAAATCCTCCTCAAAGAATTTCAGACATAGCTTGCTTAACACACTGGGAAATGCTTTCTGAAGGAGGCTAGTACTAATTGTTTACAGGAAAAAAAAACAAACCTCTCTGGTGTTGATACAAAGCCACTGGTAATCCTTTGGAAGAATTTTTGTGCTAATCCTCTTAGAGCCTCCATTGCTAAAAATTTCTGAAATTGGAGAAGGTTAGGGGTTAGGCTTATCAGTTCCAAAATTAATATTGACCAATACCAATTACATTTATACCATTTTTCCATTTTTTTTATTCTTTATCAATCATCTAAAATTGGTGTCAGGTTAGAAACACTGACTCCATAGAGATGCTGCTGTGTCTACTGGAAAGGAGGCTTAAAAAAAAGTAAATTAAAGACTAACCCCTTCATTTGTTATAGGAGTTAGCAGAAGAGGAACTCTCTCTCACTTGCAGTTCTCCATTGAAAAAGTTATCCCTAAGCTCAGTTTCTAAGTCAAGTCAGTAAACCAAACCCTTACGTTACTTACATCAGTGACTTTCAGCTGACTCTGTTAGACTTCACAATTTGATCATCATACTAGCTTCTCAGCCTTTTTTACCCCACACTCTTTAAAGTGAGGTTCTCCAACTAATGGAATTTCTGAGATAACAGATGATTCTTAACCTTGCAGTTCTCATCAGTATTGTCATCACTCGCCACTAATCTATACAGTTTCTCCTGACAGAGGTAGTGTGTCATCTCCACCTTCAGCACAGTATAGATACCAGGATTATGAGATATCAGATGCTGCAGTTGAAGAGCTCAATTGACAGCAGCAGATTTCACAGATCCCTTGAGGAGCTTGGGCAGAATGTGGTTATTTTCATTCTCATTGAAGTCATCCAGGAAGTGCTTGTTCTAGGGCATTTGCTTCAGACTTTTACTATATCTGACATTGGATTTAATATGTATTACTATCAATTGAAGAGCCTTGTCCATCATGGTTTTGTGCCACATTGTCTTGTTTTGATTTTGATGTTTTAATTTTCCTGTCGTGTTCAGAGTAGGACCTTTTTATCATTGGCTCATTTTTCACTTCTCAAGAAGAGCAAGATAAATGGATGGTTTGATACCAGGATGGCCTGTTTCAGAAAGAAAAGCTCCCTTCATCCTAGCTCTCTCATGAACCACTTTATCAGAATTTCATATTAATTAGTGTTATTGGCTGTTGTTTCTTTCAAGTCAAACAACATGGCATGCTTGTGTTTTAGCTGGAGCCTTTTTTTTTTTTTTTTTTTTCGGATCTTGAAGATAAGCAAGAACGTTTTTGGAGACTATTACATTATGTTGTTTGGCCAACTAATCAGATTTTATCTGTGCACTTGGATAGTGTTGGTGGCCGCCTACAACTAATTCAGGTCCAGACACTGTAGGGTTTCTAGTTGTTCCTTAGTACATGTTTTTACAGAGCATTATGTGTTATGGCAATGCCTGTTCAAAAAGTATAACTTTGGGAAAGTGACACTGCTTCTTCATCTGTGACTCTGAGACCTCCTTATGACACCCCTGACACCTCAGGGGATGAGGCATGCACCCTGTTATCTAGCTACAGGTGAGAGGGCTTTTTGTTTCTTACGTGTTACTATACAAGATCCCTTCCTCTCCAGGGCTGTGTGCCTGAAATGAGGGTACACTCTATTACCTTTGAAGGTGCTGGAAGTTGTACTTAGAATCAGGATATTCGTTTAAAGGGAGCACTGCAAAGCAGATTCATGATACATTTTGGTGAGCAATGTTGTGTTCTTATTTATTTACTCTAAAATCTTACAAAATTTAAACCATTTTCAGGTAAAGTGCAAAAAAAAATTGTGATATCTAAAGCAAACAACTCAGTTAAAAATCTCTATAATACATGTAGGTGAAGAAATGAAAAAAAAAAATCACACCTCTATTTAATCTTGGCATAGCTAGTTGAAATCAGAAAGCCCTAACTCTTATCCCACTAGTGCATTAATTTAAGAAAAGAGAACAGTGACGGGAGAGGTGATTTTTGTATATAATTTACTGTCTGTGCCTCTTCCCTGTTATGTCATTGTGTGTATGTGGCTCGGTTTTGGTTAGTGAAGGAACTGAAGTATGCCTTCAGTTGCTCCCTGTGCTTCTTTGTATTTCAGGTGGGTGACAAAAGGAAAGATAGTTCACGTAGTTACAGGAGCTGGGATGGCTGAGGAGTTATGGATAACCTAAAGAATTCCACCTTGTGATGTTTGTCCCTGGGCTGAATGTATGCAGACACTGCATCTTAAGAAAAACTTTGAGCTGAGAATCTTTGTATCTTTTCAATTTCAAGGATAACTTCTGTTATTTTCACTTCTAGAGGAGATTCTCAGTCGTACTAATGAGAGATTATAGAAATCTTAACTATATATATTTTAAAAGTTATTGAGACTTGTGCTTTAATTTAAGCATGTTCTTAAATGCTGCTTTGGGCTGGCATGAGGGCTTCTGTGTGGGTGATGAAATTCTTTGTATTCTGTAAGCATAGTAGCAAAATGTTTAGTTTTAGGAGCATTAGTTATAAAAAGTATATAGAAAAGTGAAGAAATGTAAGTACAGCGCATCACATTTGCTGCTCTGTGCTAGACTTCTTACCCTGTGGAAGTGTCGGGGAATACAGGTGCAAAAGTCAATTAAGTTTAGTAATTTAACAAATTATAAAAGATCTGTGATACAAGAAGAGTTCTGTGATTACAGGTTCTTGCATCTGTATGCCAGCGCTAAATACCTCAAAACCTGAGGTTAAGAAAAAATTAACTCTTATCCTGAGGGGTGAACGGCGCTCTCATAGCGTCAGTGTTCTCAGCTCTGCTCTGGAGTCCCCGTGTGCAGTGGACAGCACTGCACCCCACTTACTGGGCTTGTTTGGCAGGACTCGTGGGCTTCCTGGGCTCATCGTACTGGATCATCAGAAATCTGCCCTGCATCCAGCACTGCTGTAGAGCCATTTAGCTTGGGCAGAGTGCCAAGAGCCAGCCAGTGAGCTCTGAAGTCTGTCTGTCAGACTTAAAGGGGAAAATGCATTGTAATTTCAACCAAGGCGATGAAGTTAATGCCCTTAAGTTAGTGTTTTAAAGCAGTTAGAAAAAAGACCTAATGTGTGTGCATTATCAGTGTCAACTGATTTGTAGTAACTCTTCTGCGCGTACTAAGGCAAAGATAAATGCAGGCTTCGCTTGTTAGGTGACATTTGTTAAAGGAGTTTCAAGATTCCTTAAAGATTGTCATATAATTAGGATTTACCAGCTTGTTTTAGAGGTACTCTTAGTTCTTTAGGTAATTGATGAAAGAAATTACAGTGCTTTCAGCAGAAAGCATATTGCAATTGCAGCAGTCCATTTATTTTTTCAGTCCGTTTACTGAAATTGCAGTTCTAATTTCAGTTTAGGTAAAGTAATAATAAACAGAGGATAGAGTTTATCTCCATCCAGAATGTTATAACACAATAATAATAGCAGGCATATTTGTTCTCATCAGCTTGGCTTCCATTCTCTTATTAATGGCAGTAAAATCTACAGTCTGCAATTAATCACTTGGAAGCAACAGTAGTGTAGCACCTTGTTTAGTTTGATGGCAGTTCATTGGATTTTAAGTGCACATTGTTGTTGTTTTGGGTTTGTTTATAGTTGCCATGGTCATGATCCTGCATTTTTATTGTAAGAATCAAGTATTAAATATTTACTGTAAGCTCTGTCGTTGCTTTTGAAGGCCCTGTGTCACAAGGGAAACATACCCACTTTGAACCTGTGTACGATGTCTGTTTACTTTTCTCTTATGAGAAGTATTTACAACAGTATTTTCAGTTGCCAGCAACAGTGTTGGAAAGAAAATAATGTGCATAAATCATTTTCAAATCATCTGAAGTGATGATTGGCTCTGCTGGGCTAGAGCTCCCCAGCATGCACTTTCTCAGAACCTGCTCTTTACATGTGCTACATGGTATGGGGTTTGCATTTTGTGATGCTGAGAGACTTACAAGTAGTAACAATACTGCATACTTTAAAGCAGCGCTTGTCTAACCTGTTCTGCTGAACTCAGTACTGCTGAACTCAGTGTCTTGGCAGAGCAGAACTAGCTATGGCTTTGAGGAACAAGAAGTGAATAGGATACATTGTAGTTATTTGCTTTAAAATAATAGCCTTTTATCTTTGATGCGTGAATAGTTGGCTGGTACCATTAGGTCATGTTCAAGCAATATTATTTAGATCTTAATCGTAAGTTATTTTTTTTCTTTTTTCTTTTTTCTTTTTTTGGTCCCCCAGTTTGTAAGACTTGTATTGTTCAACACTTTGAAGACAGCAATGACTGTCCCAGGTGTGGCAACCAAGTGCATGAGACCAATCCACTAGAAATGTTAAGGTAAGATGACATTGCACAACATTTGCTGAAATGAAAGAACAAAAAATTTTTTAAAAAATTCTTAATATCTTTATCCTGAAAGGGAATTAATTTATTTTTTTGCTTATTTGTGTAATACATATATCAACTGTTCTTAGACTGGCCATAGATTCTGTCAATTTCTCATCTCCCGATAAATCGTAAATTGGTTTTTTTCAGATATAATAAAAGGAGGAAAGATAAGAGAAAGACACAGAAAGGCTGAGTATATTGTACAAATTAAAATAAATATTTTAATACATCTATTAAACAAACAAATGAACCAGATACCTTTTATTCTTTACATGAAATTAAATTCTAGATTTTCTTTTTTCAAATTATTCCAAACTGTGTGCAACTTTTTTTTCTTCTTAGAGCAATATAGAAAATGAATCATGCAAATAACAATGTTTTCCAGGGCGTAGATCTACCAATCTGAATTGAAATCTGCTGTCAGATTAAAGAAGACAATGAAAGAAAGTTTTGACACTGAAAATGCCCTTTCTTGAGAGTTTGCATTTTTATATCACAATAACACATCTTTGTTTAATTTTTTTTCTTTAAATTCTGGATTCTCATTTATTGATGTTATGTTGAAACAAAGGTGATAGCCATCCTACAAGTATAGTACAGAGAAATCAAGAAATGTCATCATAAGTGGAAGAACTTCATGTTTTCCTAAAATGATGACACCACTCCCTGCCCTCACTCCCAACACTTCCTCCACCTCCCCACCCCCTAATATTATTAGTTTGTAATGCTGTTGTGAACTTAGGAAGAAATATTCTTACATCAATGTTAAAATAAATATTTACCTCTGGAATTTACTAGGGTTGGTATTATTTCCTAATGTAATTGTGTTTGCTACAGTTTGCCATATTTTGCTTTGATTTTTATGACAGATATGTGTGTAGAGCAATTCCCATGCTTCAGTTACATGCCAAGAGCCTAGGTGAGAGAGATTAAATTCAGCAACTCTAAAGGGTGTTAATAGCTTAAGTCTTTATTGTCAGAATGTTTTTTTGGAAGGGGTAAAAGGGTTTCTGTAGATGTTTACCATAAGTATTTTTCTGATTTCCTGTCAGTGTCTGAGGCGCTGTGTCAGCTGTAAGAGAAGATGCTGTATAGAGGCTACTAATAAGCTGAAAACAAAAGCGTTTTAGAAATACTTCTTTTATTCTGACAGGGCCATTTCATAGGAGCTGAAAAATGCATTTTCTGAAATGTCTAGTAGATGTTTAGTAAAATAATAACATGCTTTAAAGCAGGAAATGATAGAAGGGTGAGAAGAGTTGAGACCACAAGCCAGAAATGTGGGAAGAGCTATTTTCTCTGCGATTATTTCCTGAAACCCCTTTTAGAGTAATTGGGTTTATTTGCCAACAAACTGCATATAACTAGTAGTTTGCTGGTTGTATTTTATGAAACAGTTTTAAACATCTGCTACACTAATAATTAGAAGAGCACACGAGCAGTGTAATGGAATTGTCTTTTTTGCGTGTTGCTTGCATAACTTAATTCATGTCTTATACTCTGATTAGAGACCAGCCACATCATTGCTCAAGAATGCAGTCATTTTCTGAGAAATGGTGTTGAACACTCTGGATAATATTTTTAACTGAGATAAAACTTTAACCTTTAACACTTAGGGTTTGTTTAAACTATAAACCTAAGTCTGAAATTCGACATGGAACTCTAAAATGAAAATTCAAGAAGAGTGTTAAATTCTAGAATTCCCTTTCCTGATTTAGCAGAATTCTGCATCAGCAATACTCAGTTGGGCCTGGGTTGATTACACCATGAAGGCAGGCTGCTTTTCTTGGTAGCATGCTTTGGATGCAAGTTTTCCTGAGTCATAGTCTTCATTTGCTTCACATCAGATAATTAGCAATTATCAGAGAGTAGCTTTGATTTTATAACTCATTCAATATTATAGAAGAGGTGGAAAAAGAAACTATACGAAGCTGACATAAATGCTTGGTTCTTCTTTCTATACTTTCTGGTTTGGAGGTTGGAAGATGGTGGGGGTGGAAAGAGGTGCGTCACAAATATGAGTGTTCTTGTTTCAGTGTTACCAGGAAGTATGGTATTAAATGACTGAGACCAACTTTGGAGTTATGTCAAGTAGTTTTGTTTTGGAATGGGTTTGATGCGAGTCACAGAAATACAAATCTTTGTTAGAGTTCTCATAGGCGTGGATAATAGGAACACTGTAAGATGCATCTGAAATTGAGAATCTTTTTATAATTTCCTTTTTTTTCCTATAGTTTAATTTTGGTTTCCCTGTACTTGAAGATTAGATAAGTGATACTCTTTCTGCATTTTTAAAGTATTAATTAGTATTTATACTTTATAAGGATTGAATAGCTCCTTCTGTTTTGTTTTTGAAAGAAAATGAAGTCATTGACTAGAGTATGAAGCCAGTTCTTGCTGCTAGCATCATAAATTTGCTAAGTATATTGGTTTTCTTGCTATGTTAGCATTACTAGTGACTTTTCTTTTGGGCCATTGAAGACAAATTAAGAAGTGCTAAGTGGGAATATTCAAAAATAAATGTAGAAAAACCAGCATGTATTATATCATCCTGAGGATGGTTCGTGGGTTTTGGAATTCAGGTAGTGATGTTCTCTTTTGAAGTCCTTACTTCTTTTCTCTTAATGAGTAAGTTATGAAGATTGGAGTTTTCTTACACTGTGAAATGAATTCCATTTCCCGGGCAGGTTCCCAGTGCTCTGCTGTGGGAACTTCATTAAAAAACAAAAAAAACCAAAAAAAACCCCAAAAACCAACCCACAGTACTATCTAGTTGCATTAAATATTGAAAGGAGAGGCTAGAAGACATAACATCCCATGATTTTTTTTTTCTTCTTATCTGTGAGAAAGTGCTCTATGTGCTGCTTTTGTTTAGGGGAGATCTGTTTTACTTGCTGAATTAATTTTTTTCTTTGTCCTTATAAGAAGAAGCAATTAAAAAATGGGTCGTGGTCAGAGCTTAAATATGAATATTCTTATGGCATGAATGTCTCCATGAACTGACGCATAACATAGGGAATTAGTCTCAAAACAAGATGATTGGGTAATAAATCTAATTGTAGACTTTTAATTATAAATACAAATTCTGTAAAGAAGAGAACCTTAAATGCTCATATATTTGTTATAAGGTGATCATTATTATCTATTAAAATGGCCGTTAGGCATTCCTCAACAATAAAATCATTCACTCTTCTTCCTATTTTGCCACTGCTAGTGAACAAACGATAGAGAACAGCCATATGTTTTATAACAGGCATATAGTGTATTATTAACATGTACACATACAGGTATGTATATATGCAAACATTATATATAGAGATATATATTATTATTGAGATGAAAAATTAAGGCAATTAAAAATATACCAAAAGCAATTATTGTTTTGTAGGTTCTGACTGAATCTCAAGGTACTTAATTTCTGTGGCCATATTACTTGGTACTTTGTTTTATCATGGGTTTTTGTTTAGGCTGGGGACAGTGGGAGTTATTGTTCACAAGATGAAGAGGACAGTGGAGAGAAAGGAAAATGAAACAGAATGAGAGATGGGGGAAACCAAAGAATAAGTGAGACAGGGAGAGGAAGTGGATCTAGAAAGAGGATGATAAACTAAATGGATAGGACAATAGGTAAAATTAAGAGAAAAGAAAAATATTTTAGCTTCAACAACAAAGGTAAATGCACTGTGTCCTCTGGACACAAAATAGCTATTTTTGGTACTATAGAGAACAATAGGTCATTTCAGGGTATCAGAGGATATGCCTGTGCTGTGTACGGTCATCTGGTAGACAAACTCATGGCAGATTTAAATAGTTTAAATTAATTAGGTTGAGTACTGAGAACTGTCTAGCCAGAGCAGCATGGATGTTCTGTGGTCTTCTATATCCTGCCAAGATTGGTTTGTGTGTGTTGTAATGAGCAGGGAATAGTCTGTTCAGTTTTTCATAACAGCCTTATTACAAAGCACTTGAATGCTTAATATGATAATGGAGTTAATAATTTTCAGGCTTACTGCTCATGACCTGGACCTTAAAATTGGATACTACTTTTCCAGTTTGTTCTTTTTAGTAACACAACTGTTTGCATGTAACACAAATCAAAACAATTAAAATTTTAGAGTAGAATGTGTTTTCTCTTTTGCTTCATTTTTGTCTTTATACATTAAAAAAATAAATTCCTTGGTTATTTCTAAAAAAATCAGTTCAAGAGGTGGTTGAGATAAGCTTTAATGCATGTTGTTTCTCAAGCTAAAATCAATTGGGTTTTCCATGATGTAGTAATTACCAAAAATATGCAATGCATTTTATTACTCGAAAGTTTTTGTTGTTTAAAGGCTAAAAATACTTAAAATGCTAGTTTCTACTTAATGTAAAATGTATTTTTTCCCTTTGAAAGGCTGGATAATACCTTAGAGGAAATTATATTTAAGCTGGTGCCTGGACTTCGAGAACGTAAGTTTCTGATTTGGTTTCGAGTACCTGTTTGGGTTGACGGAGAGAATATAGCTATTTATAATGACATCCTGTAGTATTGATTTAAAAATTCACGTTACTGTTCTTTGATGTTAACTAGAGGAACTGCAGCGAGAGATCGAATTTTGGAAGAAAAACAAACCTCAAGAAAATGGACAAGGTGATGATTTTTTTTTTCTTCCCTCTCTTATCTGTATGTTAAGTAACTGCTCATTAGGCTGTGTTTCTTCAAACACTTATGCGTGTACATTGTTTTTACTGAATTCAAAGAGACTACAGAAACTCCTGACAAATCCAGGTAAATGTAGTCTGGGCCTTCATGCACTGCTGGTTATCTTTTAACCATTTGTTTTACAAACACTAGCTGTTTTACCATTATTTTTATTTGCATTTCCCTAAGCTCTCACTTTCAACAATTCATGCAATTTTCCACTTGAATTCTTAATTCTCTTAATACAGCAAGCTGCAGAACTACTTGAGATTTTACAGATTATTTTCTGGTACTGAATTTGACCAGCTGTTAAGTAGGAGGTTGTCAAGAATTAGTTATGACAAGTAGTAAAACAGTTTTCCACACATGCTAAACAATTGTTTTATATAGATTCCAAAATGCTTTTTCTGTTTTTTCTTTCTTTTCTTTTTTTTTTTTTTTCAGTTGACCCATGAACTTTGAGAGCTCAGTATTGAAGTACTAAGTGAGGACTACATCCAACTGTTTTTATGTCTCTTTGATTAGACATCAAGGTTTTGATATCATAGCCTATTTGATTTTTAAGAATTTTTTTAAAAGCTCTGCTAAGCTAAAGAAATAGCTACTTTTAGTAAAGGATCACTGTCAAGTAAACATCTTGCAATACTCTTCTGTACTCAATTGTGTATATCTTCTTTTCAATTTCGTAACATTTCATTTTCTTTCTCACCAGTTCTGTTGATTTGCACTTGTCATCCATTATAAGGGACAAGGTTCTTTGTTACATAATGAAATCAAGAACTGCAGGACAGTTTAAATGAAATTATATTCGTTTATTACAACAAACTGTGTAGTGTATACCTATTCAGTTTTAAAAATACTTAAAAAATATTTTTATGAAATATAGACATTTGTTGATGGTTTAGAAAAATATTTTCTGGTATATGCATAGATAGAAAAAAATAACATAATTTGCAAATTTGTAGAATGTGACTTACTTTTATCCTAATTATTCTTCTGGTTCTTACTTGCCTCCCATAACTTAATGGAGATCAGTTACTAAGTGTAATGAGTGATTGGATTGTTTTGTGAATCAGAGGAAGGCTCTAACTCTCAAAATATATTTTTAGGTAGCTACAGATATATCCAGCTCTGTTAATGACAGTATCCTTGGGCTATGGAAATTTGGATCTACAAACCATTTGAAAGTTGTGACAACTCATTGAGACAAATTATGAGCATTTAAACTATTTTCTGCAATAAGTAAGCACTTAGAATCTTGCTTGAGAATAAATTATTTGGTGAGAATACTTTCAGTAAGAAGGGACTGGTTCAGTTGTCAATACCATGCCCTGCAATTACATAGGCAGTCTGGTTTAAAAGAGTCCATCACTTATGTCCTGTACGACAGGCCACAACACAGTTCCCAACCTTAGGATCTAAAGTCTGTAAAAAAAATAATCCCAGGACTTACAATTTTTGCATGTCAGAATTAAAAAAAACCAAACAAGAAAGCATATCTCGGGCATTGGTGACTCCACTAGGAGAGTGGTTACGAGATAGAATTCATGGATGATGATAGGACATATACTGTGGTACAGAGAAAAATATCCTTGTTTGTCCTCTCCAGTCTGAACTGGAGAAGGGTGAGGGCAGACAGCTTTACACTGAGTCACTCTCTGGCAATCAGTTTTACATTGAATATCTGAGAAAAGCATGGGAAGTAGACAATTTCCAAGGTTTGCAAAAAAGATGAGGGAAAAAAATGAGACACCTATTTATGCCTTAAGGAAAAGGGGCGTGGAGGTGGGTAGGATGTTGGTTTGTTTTTCCTTTCTTCTGTTCTTGGCTTTATGCTTTTGACTTAGAGAACACAAGAGTCCAATTTGGTGAGATTAAAATTTCTTTTTTTCTTTTTTCTTTTTTTTTTTTGTAAACTTCTATCATATTGAACTTTAATAACATGCCTCTAATGGACCATCACATTGATTTCTGGAGGCTGCCTGTACAAACATCATTAATTCTAATATCTACAAGGATTTTTTTTTTTAAGTAAATACTCTGGTGCCATTTACATGGAGGAGCATTTGAATTTCTATCAGAATACCTTGAAAGATGTGACCTTTTTTGTGTGTGTACCTGTTTCTGGAATGATTTTATATTGGAATTTTGCTAATTTCCCTAGTTCTGTAGCTGGTTTGCCTTTGAAGACTTTTCAAACTGCATAACTAAATCTTCCTCCATAACTCAGCAGTGATAACTGTTGAAAGTTGTGGATGTGTTTGCATTGCCAAAGAATCTGTGAATCATAGGCAGACGCTCCTCAGACAAATGCTTGTGACAGGTAGACTGCATCTGCTTGTTTAAAAGATTTTGCTTCCTGGACTTTCACAAAAAGAAAAAAAAATAACCTGTAGTTTGATACTCTAAATTCTGTTCATAGCAGGATGATAGGAACAAAATGTATGTATGATACACGTTCAACTAAATGTGTGAGTAGCTAGTAGGGACTTGTGGACAAATCTTTTGCATTCTAAAATGCTTCAAAATTGTAGGAAAGAAAAGCAATGAATGTAGCTTAAAACTCATCTTGAATATGTAAATTGAATGAAGTGAACTAAGTATCTAGACGCTTAGGCATAGCTTGATATTTGTTCAAGTTTTCATTCTATCTTCTCATCTTAACTCTTCTAAATGGCAAAAAGTTTGTGGTAAGTATAAGAAAACAGCAGAATTTGATCTGCAAGTTTCTCAGGAAATGCAAAAGTAGCCTATTCAAGTTACTTGTGATAATGTTTTATTCCAACAGAGAGCAACCATTGTTTTAAATCAATATAAATAAGTTGGAGATACAGAAAAAATCATTACAACAAATGTATATAATAGGGTTATTGTATACTGTATTCCAAATCTGTAAAAATTACTCCATTTTATGGTTCATTGTATGGTTATTATTTACATAGACTATGGCCTTATCTAGATGTACTTGCTAGTCTTGGGATTCGAGTGTTCAACTATGCCAAACCTTTGAAAACTGTAGGAGATGGTACCTTTTCCAAAGACTTAGATTTTTAAACCAAGAATCAATAGAACATGTAACAGCATCAGTGAAGAGAGATAACATGGTATATATGATTGTATAGGATATATGTGCTCTGCCAAAAAATATGGGGACCGTTCCTCTTTTTTTTGTATTTTTTATTTTTAAAGGGGAATAAGTAAGTATAAGCCTATTCAGTTATAAAATCCTACTGGTGAGACACCTGGAGTTTTTACAATGGCATTACTTAGACCAGGTCAAAAGTGGATGAAAGTTAAGTTTTATCTTGCCTTGGTTTACTTCATGATAACATTTCAGGAACTTATCTCCACTGAGTTATTGTGGCAGACAGTTAATATGAATTGATTACCCATGTTACTTTGATACACAAGCATTGGGATTAGTTATTCCACTGTTTATTGAGAAGTAATACTTTCTGGCTGTGAACTGCCACACCATAGAGTAGATTTATGTGGTTGAGTGAGCTTGATGCATGTGCAGTTGCAGGGTTTTAATCACTGGACACAGACAGAAGTAGACAGCCATAACCATTAGTGGTCCATCAGCCTAATTATTTTCTGTCACATAGAAATCTGTTGTTTGCATATTACATTAAAATTCAGTAGTAAAACTTTGTTTTCAGAGATTTGTAAATTGATCAATTTAAGAATGCACTGAATTAAACTTGTATAAAGTTAACTTGAAGAAAAAATGTGCTCTTGAAAATGAAGTATTACTTTAAATACATATTTGTTGCTACTGTGACTTTTAGTTATTTTACACTTAAATAATATGATTTTCATATTTTACAGATGAAAGCCCAAAAGCTGATAAACCCAAAGTAGATGAGGAGTGTGATGAAAATGAAGAAGATAAAGACTATCACAGGAGTGACCCGCAGATTGCTATCTGCCTCGACTGTTTACGCAACAATGGGCAGTCAGGAGATAATGTAGTGAAAGTGAGTAGTAAAAATAATCTGTGCTGCTGTTATTGTTGGCAGAATAGAATCTTACAGGAACCAAATCATTTTGTAACCAGCAACAATAAACTTTAATGTGGTGACCTGTCTCCACTTCCACGCTTATTTAGTCCTTTTGTTTGAAACATTTCAACACATCTTGGAATTTTGTAAAAAATACAATTCCACACAGAAATCCATCTGCGACAGCGGATTTTTATTTTTTTTAAATGGATTATAGTTTTGTAGTCTACAGCTTTGATGGTATATAACTGTGTTACACAACAGATTACAGCATACCACAGAGGTACCTAAAAAGTGAGCTGTAGGTGAGCTGCCCCATGCTTTTGGGGTTGCTGTCTCACCGCGCCAGCATGAAGCTGCTTTTCAGATATGTTGTGCACTGAATGACTGGGATCCAGCCCAGTTCCGGCACTGATGTGTCACCTGTGGCCTCAGACTGGTCACTTCCATCTGTAAAACATGTAGGGTAATACCTGCTAACTACTGTTTTAAGAATTAGGAATATTTGGGTTCCGTTCATGAAGGGAAGGTTATCTAATGGTATCGAGGCTACAAGAAAGTATTCAGAAATCCTCTTAGATTTTAATAATGTTTTATTAAATTGCAAATACAAGAATTAAATATTAAAAATTTGTCCAATAAAACACTACTTATATTTTCTGTATAGTATGTTACATGTATAATTTTGGAAGTCCTTACAGAGTAAGAAAGTTTGTATTCAGCAAGAAAACATATGTATGTGTTACCACTGTCTGTTTATGCTATATACAGTAAGAAATCTGTAATTCCATCACCATGTAGGAGTCTCAGTTTTCCAGCTTTTCTGTTGAATCAAAACTGTTAGGTTCTAGATCACAGAATCTGTGATAATAGATCACAACTCAGATTTGTAGCTTCCCTGTATTTTGCCTAGATTATTTGAGGATATTTTTACTTCCTTTTCTCTCAAGGACTGAAGAAATTCTAAGAAATTTAACATCTGTTTGACCCCCAATGTTACTAACACAGGTGCTTAGATTATTTAAGTTCTTCTGGGGCTTTGGTGGTTTTGGAGTTTGGTTTTTGTTTTTGTTTTTTCTTTCCTCCCTTCTGTATCTTTTGGAAATTTCTTTAATGGGTTAAATGAACTTGTTTGTCATGTAGATTTTGCAAAAAAATGAACAAAAACAAACCTATGGTGCCATTATAAATTAGAAGAGAGTGCAGTAAAATTGATTACTGGTTGAAAAAAATAGCAATTGCAGCTGTTCTTGCAGTAAAGATTGCTTACATGCTCCAAAATTTCTAACATGGTTTGTCTGTTTTGTTGCTGTTGCTTTAGGGTTTAATGAAGAAATTTATCCGCTGTTCTACTCGAGTGACCGTGGGAACTATCAAAAAGTTTCTCAGCTTAAAATTAAAACTTCCAAGTTCTTATGAGGTACATTTGAATGAACAATGCTTGTATTTTTATTTCCCTGCAAAGTATTAGGTTTTTATGAAATGTAATCATATTTGAACTTGAGGAATATTTTTTTTAGCCCAATCACTAAGTAGTGCTCAGTATTCCAAGTTATATTTTCTACCCTTAAATGAGACAGAAGTGATCATTTTATCAGGGTGACTAAAGTTGCTAATCCAGGAACTCACACAGTTCTAGTAATTTCAGTTTGTTACTTGCGTGTGAAGGAACAGATGCATTAGGTTTTGCTGTTGTTACATAAGAAAGAAATGCTTTCTCTATCCATGTGACTGACAAAATCACTTAATATAGTTCTGTGCTAGTAGCTTCTGGGGAAGAGGAGAGATCCAACTAGACATACACCAAATTACTCCACAGTTTCTTTTTCTTTAGATGTAAGAAACTATCCAGTAATTATGAAGAAGTGAGGAGCAATACCATTTGAATCTTTCAAACTGCAGATACTTTTTTTGCACCTTCTCTGGAATTAGGTGGAATTTGACGGAGAGAGAGTCTTTGCTCCATGAGTGATTTGATCTTGGCCAAGACTGTTCCCTGGGTGGACTTCCTAACATTATGGAAGTTGTGATGCAGGATGGAGTTGGGAAGTGTGAGACTCCTGCCTCTGCTTTCCCTCTTCCCAGGGATACAGGAATTCTGACCTCAGCACAGACTGTTTCTTCATCCAGTTCTCTCACAGGAGTCAATGACTCCGTGAACTGCAGGCTGCCTTCAGCACAAATGGCAGCATTCCAGCTTTGGTTAGAGGTATGGCTGAGTTAGGTTCTTGCAGAGCTATATGCAGGAGTTTCACACTATCATCACGTGCTGACCAGCTGTTTTGATATCATTTGGTTTTGTTAATTATGTTAATTTAATCTATCCTTGGCACCTTAATGCCTTGTGTTACATACTATATGTTTACTTCAAATTTTTGACCTTTTTTCTTCTATAACCCAGAAAAGCAGTATGCCTATAGTAATGAAAGAATTTTCAAACATTTTCAGTGGAGGGCAGAAGTAAGATGCTATAATACAGTTTAAACAAGTCATTTTTCGCAGTAAGATCATTACTTTTTTTTTATTTTGTCTTCAGTTAATGAAGAATCATGTTTGTATACTCAGAAGTGCATTTTCCTTGTAATTTATAGTTATTTTTAAAGTAATTTTTAAAAATTACTTTATCATTATTTTTAAAAAAATGAAAATTACAGTACTTCTGTTTTGTGTCTTTGGGTTTGAAAGAGCACTGACATAGCAAGAAGGCCTTCAAAATACAGCACAAGGCTTTCTCTTCAAACAGTGTGTAGTATTGATAAATATAGGGAGTGTTTGTCTGCTAGTGATTTTCTACCTTGTTTAGTAGACTTTCTTTTGCGCACACCTTAACTGAAAACACAAAAATGAAAAAATCAAGTGGAATGCTACTATTAAAAATAGCGGTATAGCTTATTGTCAGTATGCTGTATTTATTCAGGTTTGATATACGTCTGATGGAATTATTGTATAATGATAGGAGTTGAGGGATTAACTTTCAGAGATTCACTTAGGAGTTCATTTAGACATTAAAACTTTGCATTCCTTTGTCTTACTGTTTGTTCTGTTGTATTTTAAGCTGGATGTACTATGCAATGGAGAAATCATGGGGAAGGATCATACTATGGAATTCATCTATATGACGAGATGGAGACTAAGAGGCGAAAACGTAAATGCTGTTACATTATTAATAAATGATGTTTTGGTACATTTATTATAGAGAGTATACATGCTTTCACAGCTTGGTCCGAAGTATGTTCTATCACCCTTCAAAAAATGCTTATTTAAAAATGCATTTTGCATGTTTTCTGGTTTTCTTATGTTAAATCCTGTAAGTGAAAACCTCTAGTACGTATATTGTGCAGATTCTGAAACTTAAAAATAGCATGTATCAAAGTTTACAAGCAAGTTCTGCTCTGAGTTTTTAGTCTACTATTTAAAAACCCAAGCACTTGTTCTTTTTCTGCAAATTTGCTTTTGTGACCTTTTGAGTTACAGTAATTGGGGAATCTGCATCCAGCAGTTCTTTACTAAGAGTCTGTTTTATTCAGTAGTAAACTGAAAGTGACACTGAAAAATTATTGCAGAAATCTAGTTGTTTTATTACTGTTTCTTTCAATACTACACCCATTTTTTTTAGATATGCTGTGTAACATTAACATCCAGATAACACAGCTAAATGAGTTTTCCTTGCTGAATGTGTATATTTTAGAATCGCAATATTTAACTTATTAAAAGACATTTCTTTCAGGTCTGATATTCACTTTGATTTAGTAGCCCTTATATTGCATTGGGTTTGTTTTGTTTGTTTTGTTTGTTGGGGGTTTTTTGTTAAAAGTCATATCCCTGTTTCTTCTCTTTCTTTTATAAATTCGTTTGTGTGTGGCTGTTGGTTGTTCTTCACTGTTCATTGCTTTGTAGTATTTGCAGATTTGTTGTCTATCACTACCAGTGGAGGCTATATTGGAGTGCAGCTAAGGTTAAGCACTTAACATATGTTAATGTACTGATCTGTAGAAAATTCCAAACTTTCTGTAGTCGTCTTTTTTTTTTTTTTTTTTTTTTTTTAAGCTTTCTAGTAGTTGGAATAAAAAACACTGGTGCACAGAGAGAGAAGACAGAGAATTAAGCACACTGTGGAGTTAGCAATTCACAAGTTTCTTAAAGTTTTACTTAAATCTGAAGGGGAGAGAAGGATAGATTTTTGATAGGAATTAGGGGAGTTATTGTATATAGGCAAGTATTCATTAAATTGAAAGTAATATTATATTGAAATGTGGTGATTGCTGAAACCCCAATATGATACCAATAAGGGAGCTTTAAGTTTGTTTTTCTTCCAGTATTACCTTGAAACCAGTGGGTGTTTGTTTGGTTTACCATCTTATATTTTTGTTAGCATTGGCTGTACTATTAAGAAATGTTGACGCAACAACTTTAGTGGTAATAGAATTCTTTCCTGATATTTAATTCTGCACCCCCTGCCTACAAATGGACTTTTGGCAGTTGCATTGGTTTAGAAGCAACAGTAACTATCATCTTGACAAAAAGGACTTTATTTGTTCTGGTTAAAATTTTTCAAAAATCTCAGAACTATAGTTTCTAACATTAAGTGAAAATAAGAATTGAAAACTCTTGATTAGATTTAAGTTGTGTTTATATACACACAGTATAGTCAGGTATGTGTTCATCTTTTCCTTTATGTAGTTTTACATCATTCTCCTGAAGTCAGAGATGACAAACTAAAACCTGTAAACATTACATTGTGCTGGTAGCAAATCCAGTAACATCTGGGCTTCTATGATTTTGTTTTCCATAACTGTGTTGGGTCCTGTTATAAAACAGAAGTTGTAATGGTAATTAATTAACAATCTCTTCTTTTGGATGAAGATCAAGTAAATTCATTATCTCCATCTATGGTACTATTCATCATGATCTTTTACTGGCACACCCATGCACCTTACAAGAAGTAGAGTAGTAAAGGGAAAATATCCATTTATTCATTGGAGACTTCTTTCCTTTTTAAATAAGTAAACTAATTTTAAGCTTTACATTTGAAAATTTAAAAAAAATAATTAAATGGTAAATGTATATGTCCAGCTGTGGATGCCTCTTATCTGATCAGAAAAATCATCTCCTTCGCAGTTTCGGTGTCAGAACTGCTCATCTTCGCAAGTCTGCTCACAGGATGGCACTTTTTATCAGGTAAGAGGCACTCACGACTGTACATACTACAGTCGTTAAGGTCCTGTCAGACTCCAATTGTAATCCAAGTTGTGGAGTTTTTATAACTCCTCGCTACAAAGAGCTAAAACTATGAGCAAGGCCTCAACATTTTCGATCATTCAGAGAAAACTTTATTGAATGAATAAATAGAATCCATTCAAAAGTTTGAGAGGTTTCTTTCACTTTACATTAGGCCATTTATCTTTGTGTTAGAGAGATACCATTCTGTAGGCTGATATCTGCATCAGTCTGGAAACATCTACCTCTTCTTAGCTCATCCTTCTAACTACTAGTGTTGGGCAGTCCCTGACAGGGGATTAAAACTGAAGAGTGTGAATCAAAAGAGACTACATTGGTTTCATCTCTTTATGGCAATTCATATATTCTCTTTAATGGAGTAAAGAAATGCTAGATTTTTCTAATGCTGTATTCCTTTCACATCTTTAAAAATGGAGTAATGCCTTGTCTCTAGAATATAACAAACCTATACCTCCAGAATCTGCAAACTGAAGCTGATTTCCAAATGTCATTGATCAAGCTGGTTCACACCTATATGAAACCATATTTCAGTTTCCTCATTGAGAATTTTGATTTGAACTAATTTCTAGAAGTTACTTTGGAAGTTTGAAATAATATTTTTGTTTGACCAAAAATTAAAGTTAATGATAGTCACTCCCCACTATGGATGGGAGTAAACTACTGCAGTTGTACCTACTTCAATAATTAGAATTGTTCCAGCATAGTGCATTTTATTTATACAGCTGGTTTGTAATTTTGTTTGCAAAAAACACTGAGCCTGACTAGTTTACATGGCAGTTTCAGTGAGGCAACTGCTCTGTCTCTGCCTGTGTGCACTTCCAATTACAGTTGGGTACTTTTAGAGACAATTTATATAATCAAAGTGAAAAACATGTGAGATAGCATTTAAGTAATATGGTAGTCATATCCTATACAAAAAAAAAAATCAGTAATTTATGGTACTACAAATATATGTTTGTTAATTGCACGTGCAGACTACACATGGTGCTCCCTGTCTTCTCTCTTCAATGCTCCTGCTACTGTTGAATACCTCTGGGTTTATGTTTTGATTTCTCTGCACTCCAGTTTGTAAATCCCCAGCAAGTATGATCACATTTAGTTCTGGTGATCATTTCACTACCATGGCATGGAAAGTTTGTTAACCTGTATAGGTGTCTGCAGTGATATCTTTCTTTTTGGTCACTGAAGTTCATCTGTATTGCATTTGAAGGATCCAGTAAAATATTTCTGTTTTTAATGATAGCTTCTGTAATAATTATTTATAATTCCAAATTTGCAATTAAAAATTACTTAAATTAGTGATGTTCCTCTGCCTTGTGGCAGAGAGGTAGTTAAGCCCATACAGTTGCTGAGACAATAAGATTTTCATGGGGTTTATACTATAGAAAATGTCTAGTACCCTAATGGAGTTAAGAGGAAAACATGATTGAAATGAAATGCTGTCAGACTGAAAAAGTAAGACAATTAGTAAAACAGAACTTCCAGCAACAAATGCCCAGGTATTCCACAGCACTTTCTGGAAACCCACCCACTCTTGCCTCCCGTTCCACAACAGTTTTGTCCACTTCAGGGATCAAGCAGTTGATTTGCCTTTTTTTTTTTTTTTTTTTTTTAATTCCATTAAGAACTAAAAAAAATGTATCACTGGATCTGAAGTTGAGGAGTTGAGGGAGAAGTTAGCCCTCATGTCTCAGAAAATCAGCTGACAGCAATTTGACCTGATCTTTTTTCTTTTTTTTTTTTTCTTTTTAATACCAGAGTAGCCTGGCTCCCATTAATTACTGCTGACTACTAGTATAACTATGGAACCTCCGTATATATAAAAATCAAACCAAGTACATCATCTATAAATGGACTTTGTTTTAGAAAGTATAAAATTTCAAGATTGCTTTTCCTCAAACACAGCAACACAGAAATAAGAGTTGTTTGAGCACTCCATATATATATATATATATGTTGTAAAACATATAAATCATGAAATATATAAAAGCAGATACAGGCTTTTTATATTAATGACAAATAGCTACAACTGACTTAGAGATTAAGTATAGATTTGAAGTACAGGTGTGGATTTAACTGTTGAAATGTATAGAATTTTTTCACATAAATAAAACTGATTGCCATAAACATGTGTCTTAGGGATAAGCTCTGGCTATTCTTAAGGCACTCTTTAATTGCATTTTCTTTGTATTTTTTATGAATTACGTCTTCATGTGTTCTTGTCTGTTTTTGTTGTTTTGGTTTTGCTTTTAGTCTTACCCTATGGTACTTCAGTATCGACCTAGAATTGACTTCGGTTAGACCAAAGGGCCAGATCCCACTGAGATGAATCCTGCACTATTTGTTTACCCATCGACAGATTGCACAATGAATGGATGTGCCTGGATTAGGGGGACACAACCAGATTTTCAGCATGCAAATAAGGACATTGTCTTTCTTAAAATTGTCAGTTGCATCTCTGTTGTTTCTATTAGAGCAAGCCAAGTGCCATTCTGCTACTGAAATGTGCATAAGATATTTGTGTATCTTACGAGTGTGCTGCAAATCATAGCCAAAATCATGAAGTGTACAGTCAAGATTCAAAAACTATGGAATATTTTTGCTTGCGTGGTAGAAAATTTTTCTGGTCCTAATATTGATCACACTAGCAAAATGGCAGAGTGCTCATTCCGTGTGGTGTTGCAGTTTCACACACTTACTATTTTACTGAATATTGTTGTTTAAATCATAGAGTACTGTACAAATAACTGAGGATTATACCTTGAAAATATTTTGTATAGAAAATATATTTAGAAAAGTGGTGATTGGGCCACTACCTTTTTCTTGATAAGCTTCTCATGGGTCCAGGTATAGCTCACTCATGAGTGCGCAACAGTCCTTTTGCAGTAAGTGAAGATTAATTACCTTTAACAAGCGATGTAGAACATGGTAATTCAAAACATTTTAAATTTTAAATCTTCTAAATAAATTTGGCTAATATTGCTTAAAAGCATCGCAGCCTTTGTGATTGCACTTTTCTATGGTTTCCCTAAAGATTGGAATTTGGGATACTAGCTATTTTTGGAAAATGGCTTCTGGTCAGATTACATTTCTTGTAATAAAGCCTCCATGGAAAGGAAGTTAAAAATAATGTAAGTGTCTATGGAATAAATAAATTTCACTGTAAGATTGCAACTAAGGCAAAATTTTACATAATTATTGCCTTTCGTAGTAAGCGTTGCCTTTTAAGATTGGTTGGAGGTATATAATATGCTAAAACAAAAATAATATGTAGCTTTAATTACATTATGTATCTCTTGTGACTATCTGGAGTTTAGAATTCATTATAGAAATTTTCATTTGTTTTTCCATAAAATTAGAGGTAATGCAATACTGAAGATAAGCAGTCTGACCAAAATAATTGTTCAGGTCGTCTTTTTCCTAAGACCTGGTAGTGCTGGATAAAAAGTGATTGTTGCCTTGGGTATTGCAAGCGTAATGGTTCTAGTATAGAATGTTTATTGAGGTTTCTGGTAATGTTCCAGGAAGCATAGTAAGGCATATGTTTTCTGTAGTCTTCCGTTGTCTTTGCTCTGCTTAAAAGTCAGTTGAGTTTCTCACTTGAAATTCTGTGAAGATACATATAATTCAGTACCTTTATGTAATTTCTACTTAATACACACCTGCTAGTATTGTAGATAACTCTTTACTTTCTTATGCCTTTTGCATACAGGAAAAAGGAACCAAATCAACTTTTCAGAAGCTACTATAGAGTGAACTAATCATACTTAGATAAGACAAAGGGAAAATTCTGTCTTGGGATTGAGTGTAAAAGATAGATGCAAGGCTGTAGCTCCTTTGAAAATTTTTGTTCGTGTACATTAGTATGTTTCTGTAGGAGAAAGAAGCATGTTGTGGATTAAATCTGGCCCCTTTAATGCTGGTAGGAGTTCTGACATTGATGACTTGAGGGATCCGTATATAGTCAGGTTAACTTCTACCATTGCACTCCAAAGCCCATATGACATGCAGAAATAAAGATGCTGTCGGTAGCGGTCTGTTTAGGAAACCTGCCATTGCAGGTCAATGTTGCACATATTGTGCAGATGCCAGTGAACCTGGGGAAGCAAAATGTTTAGGAAGCTGCTGCTGATTTCTGCAGGCATCGTGTGCTGACTGGTATAGGCACTGGTTTGCCCACACTGTAGATGGGAAGGAGTGTACATACTGGCTGCTGGAAGCAGTTGTCTTTTTGCCCACCCAATCTGTGATGTGCTACTTGACAGAAACAAGAAGATACTCCATGCAGGCAAAGCTCTTCTCCTCTGCAGAGTCCCTAGGGAAAAGTAGGTTCTTTGTGTATATAGAGGTCCTCCTCATGGAGCAGCTTGGAAGAGCAGAGCATGCATTCTAATTGCAAATCATTCTTCTCTTTAATATATACAGTTGTTTTGTACGGTAGAAATAGAATACTATTTGTAAATATTTACATGCACACACAAATGACACCTTACAGTTTTTATATATTTCACGTGTTTTTATACCAGAATTTTCACTGTAGATTCACTTGACATAAAACGCCTGTTTCAGTTGATCACAAACCTAATGGTAGTACTCTTAAGCATAATTTCTGCTTGGTTGAGGGGACAATTTTTTTCTCAACGGTTGCTCTTGCTGTTTTGACAAATTTGAGTGGATTTGTTTTAGAAAGAGAAGAACACATTATTTTTAATCCGTTTTCAGGTATCTTACATGGAAGTTTGCATCCACCTAACAGGACCCCTGAATTAGGACTACTTTGTATTGGCTTCTGAATGGCAACTAATAGAAGATTTGACTGTTTAATGACTTTCTGTATTCACAATTCAGAGAACCATGAATTCTCTTGATTGGAATTGAACATTGGTTTAATTCATGATATTTTCTTCATGCAACTTAAAGCTAGATTACAGAAGGCAAATCTTCATTTTAAGCATGGAAAATACTGACAGATATGATTTAATGTTCCCAGCCAAGAATCATGGCATTAAATGCATATGATCTAGCCACCTACACTTTATGCATTTCTGATCTGATGGCACGGTGCCTGAGTGCTGTTGTATTTTAATAGTTTTTGTAGCAGCGAAGTGCCAGTAAAATACATATCATAACTGGGCAGCCTGTATAACACAGGCATTGCCTTTTTTACAGGAAATTTCCCTCCTGTATAGTACCTATGTGCCATGTGTCTACAGACATGCATATTTAATTCATTTGTGCCAATTAAGTATATCTGAACAGCATAGGAATATGAGAATGCGTGTACAGATTCCTATGTGCCAAAGATGAGGTAAAGCAAAATGAGTACCTAAGCATTCCATTAAAGCCGCACCATATGCCATCCTAGAGCAGACTGCTGTATACAGTCACACTTCCTGAGCATTTCCATGACAAAGTGTCACCATTGCATGTTTGTAAAGAATAGGAATATAAAATAAGTGTTGCTGCCACTATGTTTCTATGGCTTTCCCATATTGGCAGTACCTAGCTGCAGAGAAATAAGACCTAAAAAATTCCACGCTACTACCTAACCTTGCTGCCTCTTATTTAGCACATTTGGTGCTCCTTTTTTCCCCCAAAAAAGTGAAAAACTTTTGTCTGCTTTTAACTGTGGGGTAATTCATTAATGAAAGTCACAAGCAACTTTTTATTGAGCATAGCTGTATGCTGCATTTGTCTAGTAACAAACTGTAAGCTAGATTTTACAAGCGAGATCTTATAATATCTCAAACTATATGGAATTAAATGATTAATCAAGAAATGTATCTTCTGTCACGCATTACTACACTGCTCGTAGCAAAGGGCCTGGTTCTATAAGCATATTTTTATTTGGATGAAATACCAAATAAGATTACTACAATAATCTAAGTGACTCATCACTATAGTAGGTACTGTTTGTATGAAAACTTCTGGGATTTGGGTCCTATGAGTATGCAACGCAATAAATATATTGTGCATACTCAGCTAGCTTGCAGTTGTTATGCAAAAAAAAAATTCTAAAAAGTATTATTTTGACTTTACTGAAAATGTTATATAAAGCAAAGTGCCTGATTGTTAATACAGAATACCTTTTAAGCCCATTATTTGCATTTGACAGGGTAATATTTGCTTCTGTATTTTATCTATGGTCTTAATATTTTCAGCAAGACTATTTCATAAACATACTGTATTGAGAAGCTTTCTTTCATGGGAAACAAGCAGAAAAAGAAATGCGTTCTGTTAGATAATTTAAAATTGAAAAAAGCCTATCTCACTAGAAACTATATGAGAAGAATTACATTTATATTGAAATTATTTCATTTTCTGCATGAAGAACCCTTGAATTCTGGATCTTGGTCTTTTTTCTTCTTAGGCTCCAGCAATTTGACTTGTCTTTTCTCTTCCGCAGTTATCAAAAACAGTTGCAGTATATCTGCAAGAGAAAAGAGGTTGATCACAGTCCCTTTAGATATAAGCTAGGCTCTTGTTCTCTGCTGCAGACAAAAACAATAAGTTCCATCTTATGTCTCCCATGTATAATTGTTAGACAAGACTTTGTGAGAGAAGTAAACAATTTTCCTTCTCCTCTGTTTTCTAAAATAACAAAGCAGGCCAGGGTTTAGTCCTTTAATTGAACCAATCACTGAGTTGTTTTGTTCCATTTGTGGTTTTTTTACATTTTCATATCACTGAAGACACCAAGAGGCATTCACTCTCCAGAAGAAATATTCTTGGGAGGACTTGCAACAAAAGGAATAGCATCCAGCTCAGTCAGGTACTACAGATGGTAGAAATATTAGAGAACAGATAGTTGTTCAAAGCCAGTCATTAGTCTCAAAATAAACAGATTGAGCCCTGTTTATAGAGGGGCTATTTAAAATACTGGTCAATTACATGGACTGAGCAAACTCATTTTTATCCTGGAAAAGACCAAGGTCGGTTAAAACTTACATGCCTATCCACAGCAAATACATAGAGGTGCTTAGATCAAGAGCTTGGTCCAATTTCTTCACTTAACCTAGACAGATTGAAGGCATCTGATTCCATCGAAAATGCACATATCATGCAGGATATTCACCTCTTGTTTTACTTGATGCAATGTTATTTTATCTCCCTTAAAATGTCTATTCAGGCACCCTGTGTGCCATAATTAATTCTAGGTTCTTACACATCCTTTGCCCGTTCCCATACCCCACCCCATTTCATGGCCAACAAGTAGAAACATTGAGGAGTTATAAAGGAGAAACTGCAGATGAGGAAGAGGTTTGGTTCGTCAGGCAGGTCTCATGAATTTCAGTAAAGTTTTCCCAGTTCTGCATTTTGAATCCTTTATAACCAGTTTGAACAAGATAATGCTTCCAGAAGGTGTTCAGCTGAAGACACTTGTTTGAGGAGGGATTGCACTCTACCGGAGCATGTTCCAGGATGGATTCCAAGACACAAAGGGATTGATTCACCCTAAAGGAAATGTGAAAGGCTTCAAACTGCTCATTTACCACTAGTTTTATCACACATGGGTAGTCTGGCCTTCAGAACTCAGCTGAAACATCTTTCTGTAGGAATGTCCCCCAAAGGTGATCTTATAATGATAATATATTTTTCTCCATAAGCAGATCTACCTGTTGAATTTTTTTAAAAAAACTACTGTCTACACTGTCTGTAGATCAGATTAAAACATCAGATTTCAGAATACAAAATTGATTAATTAATGAATTCCTGACACATTCTTCCATCCAAGGTATGTGCCATAAATCATCGTCCAAATTCAGGTAGCTTGCTACTACAGTTGAGTAAGGACGTTGTTTCGTTCTCTAGTAAGCAATTTAGATCTGTGTGGTTCTGAAGTGTGGCGGTGAAATGGAGGAGCTCTGTAGATGGGAAGAAAGATTCAGGCCACCTTTTGTACTTGCAGAGAGAGACCCATATCTGGAGGCTCAGGAAGGAGACATTCTTGAATGAAAGATGGCTACGGGTGGAAGTTTTTGTAATTACATTAATTTTAACCAAAGAGAGGCATTAGTTTGACTTTGCATGTTTATCTGAACCATTAGGCGTACTTGTCTTTGAAGTGACTTTTACGTGTATTTTTAGCAAACGCTTCTAACAAGGTTTAATAATGTGACAGTTGA